ACACACACACACACACACACACACACACACACACACACACACATCACATACATAAAGAGAGACTGGCATTCAGAACGAACGAGATACATAGAGACACAGAGAAACTCAGAAAGAAAGGTCGAGACACAAACACACATACACGCACACACACACACACACACACACACACACACACACACATATACACAAACACACATATATGCACACACATACATACACATACATATATAAAAATACACACACACACACATATACACATACGCACACATATATACACGTACACACACATATATACAGACACACACACATATATACACATACACACATATATATATACACATACACACACATATATACACATACACAAACAAACAGACAGTACAACCTCAGTTAGCAGCGATGTCAACTCTTTCTCACCGCTATAAACTGCGCCAGAGCAAGCCCCTTCAGACCATTTTATCTCAGCTAGTTTATCAATTTAAATTTTATTTTATCTCCGAATAAATTTTTAAATTGAAAAAATTGACAATGAGTTAGTAAACTTTTCTTTTTAAAAGCACCATCATTAAATTAGTAATACAGCAATAATGATTAACAATTCTTATTATTAATAATAATAATTAATAATAATTGAAATTATTAATATTGAAATAATTGAAAAACGGTTACTATGATAAAACTATTTAAAGTTTATATTTAAACTGTTAAAATATCAAAAACCAAGATATTATATCTAAGCTATTCATTATAAGATGACACTTTTGATACCCTATCATGATAGAGTATCTTAACTTTCTACTATTCATTTGTTCCAGTGTTTATTCATTCATTCATTCATTCATTCATTCATTCATTCATTTTATTTCAAATCAGATAATTACACATTTATTCAAACAAATGCATAAAATAAAAAAATATTCACCAAGATTTTGGTATTGAGTTATCTTGTCAAAAATTTCTCTCTGTAGAATAAATGAATGAATGAATAACTAAATAAATAAACAAACAAATAAATAAATTAACTAATTAATGCAAATAAAATAACAAAATAACAAAACTATTAATTAGTACTAATGTAGATAATTAGTTGAAAAATGACAAAGATGAACAAATATAAAAAAAAGCAAAGAACGAAAACAAAAAAACCTTAGAAAGACCAGTTTGGGGCAATTTTGTAATGTAGGGTAAGTTTTTATTAGTCTTTTGGAACATCTCCTCCAGTTCTTTTATCTGTTTTTGGAGGATTTTGTCAATTTTTCCTCGAATGATGGGCAGATTTCTTACAAAAGAGAATAAGGATTCTTTAAATCTTTTCCATAAATCTTAGAAATGCAGGTGTAAATGTTATACATGTTGGTCATGCTGAATTTTTAAACGATAGGTTCATTTTAAAATCATTAAATCGTTGAATTCAAAATAATTTGCATATATTAAAAAAAGCTATACAAATCATTCTAACATTAGAAAATGCAATAAAAAAACAAATTAAGTAACTATAATTTTGTTAAATTAAATAATGTAAGTTATAATAATAACAAAAATATTAATAATAACTTTTATTTGGACTCCAGAAAAATTCCCACAGAGCCACAAATAAGATGGTGAGACCGACGGACAGGAAGACAATCTGCCATGGTTCCAGATGTGAACATGATCTGTTTATGAATTTCTTGGTCCATCTCCATTGGACCGCAACTTCATGTCCCAGCGTTTTTAGGTAAGGCTTTTTTTGGCATTTTGTTGTTTAAATTTTTATTAATCATTAATGTTACTTGTTCATAAAATAGAGGCAGGATTTTTAAATTTGTTTTCAAACAAAAACAACAAACAATGGCACAATAGCTAGTCACAAGACAAGACAAACCATTTCAATTTGAAAATAAATTTCTCAAAACGATCACACTCACGTCAAATAGTTCCATGATTGTTAAAAGACAAAATGCAACATAAAAAATAAAAAGTTAATTAATATTCACCACTAAAATGGCAATCGTAACTAATTAGAAATTTTTAATCAAAAATTCGAAGCAGTTCTTTCTCCAACAATCAAAACTCGAAGTTTACATTTAGCGGACAATTTAAAAGGAACTAAAAATTAATTTAAGTTTAAATTAAAAAATGATTTATCTGGATGATAATCTTTAGCTATTAACTTTTATTAAATTAAAATAAGCAAATTACTTAAATATACATTCAAATATTCCAACAAATCAAACCTACATACACTAATGCACATAAAACACTAGTTAAATTGTAGTGTTTAAAGGTTAAAATCTGAAACACAGTTAATAACGACTTCTTTCTTATCAAGTGCTTCACACAGATTCGTATTGTGATAAAAATGTCATCAACAACATTTCATTCATATCACAGCCAGTGATATACACACTAACACACTGACACACACACACACACACACAAACACAAACAAACAAACACACACCACACACACAAAGACACACACAAAGACACACAGACAAACACACACACTTCTTTGTTCTTACATACATAATAAAACATTTAAACGCATAGACACGAGCATCCTAATTACATACCACCACCGCCACCAGATTAGGTGAACGTGCACCAAGAAATCAACTGCACGAAATCGTATACACATTTATTGTACGAAAAAATACGTACAAACAAACACACACACACACACACACACACACACACACACACACACGCACACACACACACACACACACACACAGCAACATCTATAGAAACACACAGGCACACATAAATACATACAATGCCGTCGTTAAGTTAAAGAGGACATATTTTAATCTCACAGGCTAGAGAATCAAATTAGTCTCATTATTTTTTTGTACAATGCAATGCATGTAGGCAAGTACTCCAAGTATATTTTTATACCACATTAAATAAATATATACATGTATATATATATATATATATATATATATATATGTT